CCCATAAGAGAGGGACTTTCAGCTATGGCTGCATGAAGATTCTGGTGACTCCTCACCACAAAAAAACAAATATAAAACCTGGCAAAACTGACACAAGTTATTTGGACTTTGGAAATTGACCAAAGGCAGACAACAAATTCTTATTCTTAGGAAAACTGCTAGAGCTTCAGGTGAGAATAGTGGGAGTCTGCAGTATTCTTCTTGCATGGGGCTCCTGCTGTGTACTTTTTGGCAAAAACTAGAGTTTGGAAAACTTGTTGCTTTGATGCAAAAGAGGCTAAGCCTGTTTGGGACAATTAGTAAACCTCTGTTTGTTAACTGTAAGTGATGAATTTGGTGGGAAACAAACAGGGAAAATCCACATATTTGCAAGACTCAGATTTCAGTGCCAGTGGCATGAGTAGGGGCCCAGCCAGGAATTTAACAGTCAGACCTTGAAAATGAGACAATCATAAAAGGATAAACTCTCTGTCTTTATTTTTGGCCTATTGTGAAACCATGCACACGTGCAAGTGGAATCTGAGAGTGTTTAGCAGAAAGCAACGGCCAAGGCAGAGTTGAAAATGGCTAAGCCTGAATGTGCCCTTCCCAACCCACACAGAGATTGTGGATTTCCACAAACACATTGTGTTACAATTGGCTGGAGTATTCAGAACGGTAACATGCAGTAAAGGTTTGTAACCTAGAAGCAGTAGTCTATACCACATAGCCTAAGTGTGTAGTAGGCTATACCATGTAGGTTTGTGTAAGTGCACTCTATGATATTCACATGATGAAATCAACTAATGATGCATTTCTCAGAATGTATTCCCATTGTTAAGCGATGCAAGACTGCATTTACTTTTTAAGGATTTGCCCTAAGGTTTATAATTATCATTATAATTTATAACAATCTTATTTTGATTACTGTTGTACTTGAGACTATTGATGGTAGTGTCCTTGGTCAGAAATGCCTACAGTACTTTCCCAGGCACACATCATTCCTAGCGAGCTCCAGAGACACATCCCCCAACAGGACACTTATTTATGGTTGAGCCTGCTCTTGAGGTTTTTATTATGATTTCAGGACACACTTCAGCAAGGAACCATCAGGGAATTTTGAGGACAAGATTTACTGCTTGCAGATCCTGGAGGGCATGTGGCACTCTCAGGGGCCACACAACCTGGTTGCAGGTAGAGAGAGAACATGGACTTGGGGCTCTGCCTTTATTAAGATCCAAAGGTGGGATGCCTAGGGTTTTGTGGATTTACTTTTTTTATTGGCTAATTTAAAGTATAAGAGCAGGAATTAGGGCTCAGGAAGAGAGAAATGAGTTTACTCAGTGGTAAGTTATCTAGGTTCCCTTTGAAGGAGGGAACTTCATGAGTGGTGGTGACCTAGTTCTTTATCTGGTTGGTTGTTAGTAGCTGTGCCATATAGCTGGCAATAAATTTCTTATTCAAGACTGATATCTTTTGAAATAGATGTGTTGGCAATCAAAGGCTCAATGTTAGACATACTACAATAAAAAGGCTTGATGTCAGGCACTTGCACTACAAATACCAATTTAGTTTCAATGTTATATAAAAACTTTGTGTCTATATTTATGTTGTTATTGTTACAGATTATACCTGTATATGTTTTGTGTCCATAAGATTATAATAGCTATATAATTATTATTTTGTGTAGTTGTCTTTTGCATCATTTAGAATTGGAGTATAAGCCAAAACTATATCAATACTGAATTTTATATTTACCTACATAAGTAGCTATCTTTATTGGTGTTTTTCATTTCTTTATGTGATTTAAAATTACTGTGGTTTCAAGTGCTCTTTAATTTCAACCTGAAGAACTCCCTTGAACATTTCTTGTAGGTAGCTCTCCTAGTGACAGACTTCCTCAGTGTTTGTTTACCTGGAAATACTTCAATTTCTCCTTCATTTTTTGAAGGATAGTTTTGCCAGATACAGAATTTCTGGTTGACAGTTTTGCTTTCAGTGCTTTAAATGTTATCCCCTTGCCTGCTGGCCTGCATGGGTTCTGATGAGAAATCAGGTGTTAATCTGATTGAGGGTCCTTTGTACATGATGAATTGTTTTTCTCTGGCAGATTTCAAGGTTTTCTCTTTGTCTTATGACAATTTGATTATAATGATTCTTAGTGTAGAACTCGTTGAGTTAATCCTATCTGGAATTCATTGAGTTTTATGAATGTCTAGCTTCATCAGATTTTTCAGGGATCAGCAATGTTATGTTTAGACTGAAATTTCTATCTTAACCTTACTTGGTCTCTGATTCCACTGTTAGCTCAATTTTCAAAGACTTTGCTGTACTATGTTGGGTTTCTTCTGTACATGTGTAGCTTTGTGGTTAACTCAGGTGTTTTTATCACTTCATATACTGAATTAGGGGTGCTCTTTCCAGATTTCTTCTTTGATCCTTCCTTCACACTGTTTGACCTAGAAATCTCCTTTCCTGGTTCTCTGGATAGAAGGATGGAGTTTCTCTCAGAGCTATTGTCTGTGCTATATGCCTGTGCTGCTGTATAGTTTTGCAGGACTTGGGCAATTTTCATGATGAAGTGGTAAGAAAAAGGTAATGGAGGTTCCTTGCACACTCTTTGGTCCATGGAGTTCTTTTCCTCGTTCTTCTGGTCAAAAAGATGGGTTTACTTTCGGAAATTTAGGGGCCTGCACAGCTGCCACATGGCACCTCTGTGACTGAGGCTGCATTTGGGACATGGCCAATGGGGAGAAAAGGGAAAAGCAAAAGAAAAGAAAACCCAAAATGGGGACTTACCCCACATTTTCTGTTTCACAGAGACCCTGTGTCCAGAGTGATGGCTTTCTTTCTGTATTTTCATTCGCTGTGCCTGCTGTGTAGGTCTGTACAGGGACCTTCCTCAGTTTGACACTAGTAGATAATAGGAAAAATATTGGCCATTTTTTACATTTTGACTCAACTCCCTAATCTATGTGTTATGAATGCTTGAGAACCCTGAGGTATTTGCTTTTAGTATGTTGTGCAGAGGTTTTAGTTGTCATGAATGGGAGAGTCTGTAGTGGGCTTAACTACATTTATGCCAGTTATTCTCATGCATATTTTTTTACTTCTCACTTCACCCTTGGAGGATGAACTATAGTTGTGAAGGAACAGCAGTGGGCACTTTTCCCAAGGCTCAAGGTTTAAATATAGTACAGATTCTAGCTTAGATTTCTGCAACACTTATCTGTACAGAGGTAAATCATTTTAGGTTATAGTTATGATAGGAATCATTTGTATACTATTTGCTCTGATCCAGACACTGTTCCAAAAACTTTATGTGTACTCCTTTAGTCCTCACAATAACTATCAGGTAAAGGCTGTATTATTCCCATTTTATATTCAAGAAAATCGGGGTACAGAGAAGATAGATAATTTGGCCAAGGTTAATATAGATAATAAATAGTAAAGTCATGATTCAAACCTAGGATAAAACAATTTAGTGTAGAGCACATGTTCTTGTTCACATTTTCACTTAATATTATGGAAATTTTCATGCCCTGGCCAAAGTAGAAAATAATGAACTCCCCATTTATCATTCAATCAATGTCAATAGGTTTTTCAATATTCTGCCTTTTTTCATTTATCTTTTCTCAACAGTTTTTGTTTTTGGTAAAGTATCTGGAGACAAATCCTAGATATCATTTCAGCCATAAACACTAAAATTATCTAAAATGGATAATGACTTTTAAAAATAATATAACTTAAGTCATACTGTAATCACAATGTAATCACAACTTAAAAAGTGGGAAATAATTTCCTTTAAATATTTATGTTCAGTGTTATCTGATTGTCTCAGAAGTATTTTATAGTTAGTTCAATTCAGGATTCCAATATGGTCCACAATTGTATTTGTTGATATGTATCTTAATTTTTAAAAATCTGTATTGGTCCTAAACTTGACCATTTTAAAAAGAATTCTTACTTTTTAAAAAAGATTTTATTTATTTACCTTTAGAGAGAGGGGAAGAAATGAACAAAGGGAGAGAGAGAAACACCATGATGTGTGAGAGAGACATCTATCAGTTGCTTTGCATACCCTGAACCGGGGAGTCAGCCCACAACCCAGGCATGGGCCCCGGCTGGGAATCCAACCAGTGACCTTTCAGTTTTCAGGCCAGTGCTCAACCCACTGAGCCACACCAGCTAGGGCTAATTCTTACTTTTTAAACTCTTTTTAAAGTAAGCTTTTCATTTTGGAATATTATTAGAGAAGTTGCAAAGCTAGTACAGAGTTCCCATATATTCCTCACCTATTTTCAGTTTCCCCTAAATTGATTCCTACATTACAATGATACATTTGCTGAACTGTGAAATTGGTGTTGGTACAGTTTTTTCGTTAATGGACTTTTTCCAATTCAGGAATGCATTAATTGTCATTCCTCCTTATTTTCCTTTTGCCTTTGATACTCGCTCAGTCTTTCCTTGTTTTTCATGGTCTTGATTTTTTTAGGAGTCTTGAACATGCATTTTGTAGCTTGTCTTATAGTTGGTGTATATGATACTTTTCTTGGGATTATATTGGGTTTATAAATTTCTGGAAAAAATGCCATAAAGGTAAATGTTCTTTTCATGATGCTTTTTAGTTAAAAAAACTATGTAAAAAGTTCACCTGGTTCTAAGGGCAAAACTATAAAACTAGGAACCTTCAGAGTAGTTTTACTTTCATTCCCTTCTCCTTCCTAATCTTTTTTCCCTTCCATAAAGAGGAGTATTTTTTAAATTAATTTTTGCCTTATTCTTTTAATTTTTAAAATATTGACAAACACACACACATATTCCCCTGCTCTCTTTCCCCCCTTGCTTTTACATAAAAGGTAATATTAGTCCATGTTCCTAACTTCTATACCATACTTTCTCTTTAGGACAGCCTGTAACAATGACTCTCCTAATAATGACTGCTTGTATTCAACATGTTTTTTGTGCCTTAAGGTTAATATTTTCTAACAAATATCATATGGCTTCTTTTTTATTCACAGATATTTTCCAATTTATCCCTGGATGAACGTTGCCTTTCTGCATCGTTGGTTTGCAAGTATTGGCGTGACCTTTGTTTAGATTTCCAGTTTTGGAAGCAGCTGGATCTTAGTAGTCGTCAGCAGGTATATATAATTTAATTCTAAGAAACACTCAATTTGATCTATTAAAAAATGTTCATTTTTCTTCAGAAATCACTTGCTTCATGTTGTAGTTTCTTAAGATAGTTCAAATGACTATAATATATAATTCTGTGCTTTCGTATTTTTTGTTTGTGAATAAGCTAAAGCATAGGTTCTTACGGTCAAGAATATGTTTTTTAGTGTGGATTGGTAATTTCGGGTTTCTTCTTAATCCTTTTTGTTTTATTCCTGTTTGTCTTCGTCTTTTTTTCATTACTCTTTAAAAAAAAGCTTTCCCCTTTTTTGGAAGGCTCATATCATGAATATTAGTTTAGTAATAGAAAATAATGGCAGACATTTAGATAGTACTGCTGATGTGCCATGTACTGTTGTATGGGCTTTATACATATTAATTTATTTTATCTTCCCAGTAATGTCATAAGTTGATACTATTATTATCCACATTTTAAAAATATATTTTATTTATTTATTTATTTTTAGGGAGAGGGGAAGGGAGGGAGAAAGAGAGAAACATTGATTGGTTGCCTCTTGTAATGCACCCCGGCTGGGACCGAACTTATAACCCAGCTGTGTGCCCTGAGCAGGAATCGAACTGGTGATCTTTTGTTTCATAGAATGATGGCCAGCCAACTGAACCACACCACTCAGGGGTTATTATCCCTATTTAATATATTATTATTACAATATTAATAATACTAATACTATTATTAGAGGCAAAGAAATGGAAGCAAAACTGGCTAACATTATTTTGTTTTCGTTTTACTTCTGATAAATTTTATAATCCTCTTTATTACCTGGCTGCCCACTATATTTATATGCTGGCATAAATTAGGAATGAAAAGATAAGAGTCAATTGTGCTTTTGTAATCAGTTCACAATTCTTTAAACTTGGTTGTCAATACTTGGCACTGGAAATATATAAAAATATTCAATAAGAATAGGATTTTATTAGAGTACTAAAACTAAATTCTTCTATGATATAGTTAGTAGGGGTGTGCTGGTAAATGTGTAACAACTGGCTTTCAAAAACAAATGAGCAAATAAAAAGCCCCGATTTGTAATATTTGCCAGTTTCTCTGGTACAAATACTCCCACTATAGCCAATTTCAAGCTACCAATGTGATATCACTGAATATACTGATGTCACTCATTTGGAAAGAGGTACACATTATAGGTCTTGTGAGTTGGTATAAGCCAACTCTAACATACCATTATTAGTATATATGTCTGTGTATGATACATATACTTTAAACAAAATGAGCAAGATTTCCTCCCTGGGTTAGTGTAGTAATGTAAAATAATTCATTGGCTCTTTACTACAATACTCCTGGATGTCTGAGCTATTTGTTACAAACTCAGACTAAAAATAGCTTTTCCCCTCTGCTGGTAGTTAGGTTTGAAGATGAAAGATACATAACGGTTATAGGGGCTCAGTTCAAGGAACCAGAGACAAAGACAAAGTATATTTTTTATTATACTGCAGTTCTTGTTATGCTTTACTATTAAGTAGAAAAGTTTTCTTTTGATTGTGGTTTTCATACTATAACCTAACTATATTGTTTATTGGGGGAACTTTAATAAAACAATGGAATTGTTTTATTAAATAAATAAATTTATTAATTAAATAAATTAAATATTGTAATAAAACAATAAAATACATTTATACATTTAGCAAAAGTTTAATTTTGCTTTTCTCTCTCATAGGTTACTGATGAATTATTGGAAAAAATTGCATCAAGAAGTCAAAATATAATTGAAATCAACATTTCTGATTGTCGAAGTATGTCTGATACTGGTGTGTGTGTTCTAGCATTTAAGTGTCCTGGACTTCTTAGGTACACAGCCTACAGGTGTAAACAGCTTTCTGACACCTCTATTATTGCGGTTGCCTCTCACTGCCCTTTACTTCAGAAAGTTCATGTGGGCAACCAGGACAAACTAACTGATGAAGGACTCAAACAGGTAAATTTTGACATCTATAAAATGATTTAACTCAAATTAAATAAAAATGTTTTCTTGTAGCAACACTTTAAAAATTGTTTTGTTAAAAATAGTGCCCAGACTAAAAGAAGTCACGTTTTTAATGTATTCACGAATATTTGTTTGGGTTAGTGCACTAGTGTGCCTTTATTACAATTGATAAGTTAACTTGTGTTTTGTAGTGAGTGCCTGAACTTCTGTGACCAAACATTTAATTAATTTATTCTTTTGTTACTTAAATTTTGTACCAGATTTTGATTCAGGTAACAATAGTATACAGTTTGGGTCTGCTTGAAATTTTAAAAATCAACTTTTAATTTCCCTTTTATGTCACTAAAAATGTGGTTACATGCTTTAAATATCTGTTTTAAGGCATAAATGAAAGTCTGAGGTAGAGAGTATAAAATGAAGAAAAAGGTGGTAATCATCTATATTTAGCACAATAATTGGATTAAAAATAGTATCATATGCATTTTATGTTTGAGCCACTTCCTTTGGAAGTGGTATTTAAGGTCTCTTGTCTCAGAGGTGATTATTCATTCAATGAATATGCAGTAGATTATAAGGGACAGATCCAGAATTTGTGAATATTTTGAATATTTGGTAATGTTCCTACTATTGTACTAGGCACTTTCTGTAGTTTTATTTACATTTAGCTCTTGAAATAACTTTGTGAAATAATTGATCTTAAACTCATTTCGTAAAGCAAGAAATTAGGGCTTAGTGAAATTGATATGTTTGCCTAGTATTTAGCAGATGGTTGAGAGTTGAAGCCTGTATTCCCCAAAGCCACTATAGTCTTTCCACATTTCCAGGCCAGTAGACTGTACTCTTCTAGACCTTGAATAAAGGAGCCTGCTACAGGAAGGCAGAGGCTATGCACATTTACCAGTCTGCCTAAAGTGCCCTCAGCCAGCACTTGCTGAAAGAAACAATTAGTTAATAATTCCATTCAAGAACTTTGTTGGGATTAGTATTTAAATTTAGAATTGAGATGCAGTCTAAACACTTTCCAATAAAACCATAATGTCAATAAAGTCCTAGATTGAAATCTGACCTGAGGTGAAATTAGAAATAAAATGAAGATTCCTACATTTTGAGATTACATATGAATTAACTGACAACTTTGAGACTAGTTAAGTAAATCTTACATAGATTGTGAGATATTTTGGAATTCATTAATTTATGGTAGATTAGATGTTTGCTTCAGATTTGCATGGAATCTGAATTATGAATTAGAAATATATAGTAATCTGATAGAGGTAGTAAAACAATCTAAATCTTTTTCATCCTGAAATAATTTTTTAAAGTGACTGCATTGCATTAAATAATTACATAGAAACCTCACTGCAGTGTGGAGAGTAATAATTCTTTATGCTTAAGACTGTGCTATAGCAGGGATGTCCTATTTTTAGCCTCTTTCTTCTGATGAAATGATGTTGTGGTATAGTAGAAAGAGAATGTCTTTTCTATAAATATAAAATAGAAATAAAAGTTTTTTGAAGCAATATGTAGCCTTATGTACCATCCGCATTGGTATTTTCTATTCTGTATGATAGGGTGGGGCAAAAGTAGGTTTACAGTTGTATTGTGACATTCTTTTGAGTTAATAAGCTACTGTAATAAATCATAACCTGTATGTCCTTTTCTATATGAACAACTGTAAACCTATTTTTGCTCATCCTTGAATTATGTTAAATAAGTGTTGTCCTTAACCAACTTAGTAAATTAATGTCATGACCCAGTGATGCTTGATGAGTTCTGTGAGAGTGTATCATACGGTTTTAGTGAACTAACAACTTAAAAATGTATAATAAAGTTTTAAAAGGCCTAGGATGAACTATTCATAATTGATGAATTTTCTTGGGATTATTATTATTTTTTTTTTTACTTCTAAACATAGCAAATGATTGAATTGTTGATTTTACAGATCAGGTATTTGTTTTCTTTTTCTCTTTTGTTAGTAAAAACTGACTAATGTTTTAGAATAACACCTTTTTTTGATAATTTCTTTAAAGTGTATTCCCATTATAACCACTATAACTTTGATTAACTTTAGCAAATCCTGTGTGAATTTGTTTTTTTGAGTTGTGTTTATAAAAGCAATTGCATAAAGCCCTGGCTGGTGTGGCTCAGTGGATTGAACGCTGGCTTGCTAACCAAAGGGTCACTGGTTTGATTCCCAGTCAGGGCACATGCCTGGGTTGTTGGCCAGGTCCCCAGTAGGAGGCACATGAGAGGCAGCCACACATTGATGTTTCTCTCCCTCCCTTTCTCACTCCCTTCCCCTCTGTCTAAAAAAAAATAATTTTTTTTTAAAAAAGCAGTTGCATAAAGTATTTCTATTTGGAATTCTGATGGCTCTAAAGTATAGTATTTTAATAATTGCATTCTACTTAAAAATGTTTCTCAAACTTTTGGTGAAACACTTAAAAGGCTGTTTTTGGCCAAACACTATGGTTTTTTTATTTGTTTTTTTGTTTTTGTAAAATGCTGCCTTGAAATATTGGTATTTTTATTTTCATAAAAATAGCTGCAAATAATTGTACCAGTGGAATGTATTTCTATTATCTCATACAACTATAATAATGTATCATGGGGAAAAAAGAGCTAGTTAAGAATAATAGGATATTTCAGTTTTTCTAGAATTTTATTGCTACCTGGCCCTTGCCAACAAATGAAAGAAAGCAGTAGCCAAAGTATTCAAAGAAATCTAAGAAATTGTATCTTTTATGTTAATATTTTATGCTATTTGTATTTTATTTTAACAGTATGACACCTCAGTCTAATTCATGGATCTCTGTAGAAATTTCTGGGTATAGTCACTATAGGCATCTTCTTAAATTATTAATAAAATGATACAAAAATAAATGTTGCTTTAGTAACTTTCAGTCTGGCTATATGATGAAATTTTAAGTCTTTAAAAATAAGTATTTAGAATGGTATCAGTAAAATGGCAGAGTAGGCAGCTCCAAAATCCTATTCCTCCACAGAAACATGAAGAAACAAGCAGAAACTGTTAGAACCAACTTTGAGAAAATAGGCAGTGCTTGACAGCAACCAAGCAGATGCTGAACCAAGAAAAAGCCAATTAAAAAGTGATGGGAAGGCTTCGTGGCATTCTTTTCTTGTCACCTTCATTTTTGCTTTCTGCCTTCCCCAGCTTGGCAACAGGTTTTAACAGCAGCTCATGTTCCCAGTGTGGGACCAAGGTCCCTGGTTCCAGAGGGATAAAAGCAGACTTGATTTACAAATTACTGTATTTGTGTATTCTAACCTGCCTTGGAGCTTCCTGAAGGACTGGTGCAAAGCACTCAGATATCTGGACTTTTGTGCTTCAAAGGACATTCTTAACTGAGCAAACAGACAACCCACTAAATGAGAGAAAGTATTTGAAAATTATATATATGATGAGGATTTAATACTGAGAAGATAAAGAACTCCTGTAACAACAAAAACAAATGAAAAAACCCACCAAAAACTAATTGAAAAATGGGTAAAGACATCCAAAGAATATATACAAATAGCTAACAAGCACAGAAAAGATGCTCAACATTATTAGTCATCAGAGAATTGCAAATCAAAAACCATAATGAGATACCATTTCACACCTGCTTGATGGGTATTAAAAAAATAAAAACAAAAACAAACACCAGAAAATAAAGTATTGCTTTGGATGTGAAGAAACTGGAACCTTTGTACATTGCTGGTGGGGATGTAAAATGGTGCATCTGATTTGGAAAATAGTTTGGTGTTTCCTCAAAAGATTAAACATGTAACTATCATCTGAACCAACAATTCTTCCATACACACACACATACACACACGTTCACTAATTGCCATTGCAACATTATTCATAATAGCTGAGAGGTGGAAACAATCCAAGTGTCTATTAAGAGATGAATGAATATACAGAATGTTTTATGTGCAGTGAAATAGTATTAAGCCATCTAATGGAGTGAAATGCTTTTTACATGGTACCATGTAAATGGATCTTGAAAAAATATGGAAATTTAAGTAGGCCAGAAATGAAAAATGAATATTGTATTATTCTACTTATATAAAATACATAGCATAGGCAAATTCGTACAGATAGATCATAGAGGTTTTCAGGGGCTGGAAGAAAATGGAGAGTGGTTATTTGGTACAGAGTTTCTATTTGGGATGATTGAAAAATTTTGGCAGTAGATAGTGGTGGTTGTTGCATGACACCAAAAATGTAATTAATGTTTCTGAATTATACACCTAAATATAGTTAAAATGGAAAATTTTACATTACATGTATTTTACCACAATAAAGGAAAATAACATCATACTGTTTTTAGATTCTGAATTTCTGTGAGATAAAGGAAAATGTCAGTCTCACCTAATCTGTCTTTACATGTTCCAGTGATACTCAGTTAACTAGGTAAAGAGCAGTTATGCAGTCTTTACTGAGCATCTACCATGTGCGAGGCACAGTTTATATCTCCTAACTATATATTCATATGTTTAATTTCTCTATTGATTCACAGTCACTCTGTGAGTTAGGTATTATTCCCTTTTTATAGATGAGAAAGCAATTACAGAGAAATTATAAGGAATTTTTCCAAGGTAAAGTTGTAAGTGATAGCGCTGACACTTATATTCAGGGATGTCTAGAGTTCATTCAGTACACTTAGCTCATTCCCTCCCCCTTTCAGATGAGATGACACTCATTTTAGCCCTGTAATGATAACTGATGTTGGGAAACTGGGACTGGGAAACTAGAAAAGCCTTCTTTATCAAAATGTGTTATATTTATTCTCCTTTTAAGTGAACATCACAGTTAGCAAAGGGAAATAACTGTTTTGGGTGCATTTCATATGACAGGCATTGTATTGTGTGCTTTCATAAATGTTATCCAGTTTACTCTTTACCACGACACTGATGTGGTATTTCAGATGAAAAGTGGGATCTCTTGGAAGTTAAGTAACTTGCTCAAGTTTGATTCTGCTTGATCT